AGAGAGAGAGAGAGAGAGAGAGAGAGAGAGAGAGAGAGAGAGAGAGAGAGAGAGAGAGAGAGAGTTTACGACCTACGTTACTAATCGTAGACAGGCAGACGACGGACCGTTTTGCGAACTTTATGATTTCCGCGCGTAAATTTTAATGCAATATGAGCGAGCGGTACGAGCTTGGAGGGTCATTAACGTAGTGTGCAGGTATGAGGCAGGCAGGCAGGCAGGCAGGCAGGCAGGCAGGCAGGCAGGCAGGCGGGCAAGGGTGGTAGTTATGCAGGCAGGCAGGCAGGCAGGCAGGCAGGCAGGAATGCAGGCAGGCAGGCGGGCAGGGGTGGTAGGTATGCAGGCAGGCAAGCAGGCAGGCAGGCAGGGCTGGCAGGTAGGCGAGCATGGGTGGCAGATAGGAAGGAGTGGCAGGTAGGGGTGGCAAACAAGGAAGGATTGCAGGCAGGCAGGGGTAGCAGGCAGGCAGGCAGGCAGACAGACAGACAGATAGGCAGGCAGATAGGCAGCTATTGTATTTCTCGCAGGTGTGGTTTAACGCAGCAACGCAGGTGTGATTGTGTCATATGGTGTTTCTTGCAGGTTTCGGTGGACGCAGCAACGCAAGTGTTACTGTGCTGTATGGTGTTTCTTAAAGGTTTGAGTTAACGCAGAAACGCAGGTGTGACTGCTGTATGGTGTTTCTTGAAGGTTTTGGTGGACGCCGCAATGCAGGTGTTACTGTGCTGTATGGTGTTTCTTGCAGGTTTGGGTGGACGCGGCAACGCAGGTGTTTTTCTCGCTCGGGCCGGGATTCGGTGTTCTTCTCGCTTACTCCAGTTACAACACGTTTCATAACAACGTGTACCAGTAAGGCGTCTCATTCGTACACACAACCATTTATACGCGTTTTCTATAATATATTCATACATGATGTAATAAATAAATAAAAATAAGTAACTAACTAAATAAATAATAAATAAATGAATAAGTATACCCCTAAATAAATAAATAAATAAACAAATAAACAAATAAATAAATAACGCAATATGTGCATAGTGACGCTATTGTTGCTGTTCGTATCTAGTGACGCTTTGCTGACCAGCTCGATCAACTGCGCCACCAGCTTCCTCTCTGGATTCGTCATCTTCAGCGTGCTCGGATACATGTCGGCAAAGTCCGGCGTAGACATCAAAGACGTCGCCACTGAAGGTACTATTGCGTGTCGTCCGCAAACCATTACAGACCGACCACGCTGATCCTGGTGGCGGGAACACGAACTACCTCATGCTGACGCACATCCGCGCACTCGCGCACGTATACACGCACGCGCACACCCGCCCGCACGCACCTCAACAAGCGTGCCGACATGATAACTGAGCTACATACACGAAGTGCGCCGAGACTAATACGTGCGATGTCATTCTTTGTCATACAGGTTGTGCCTATCTCACACACAAATAGACATCATAAATTATATCTGTGAGAAATCTTATATAATTATTTTCAGGTCCTGGTCTTGTATTCATCGTCTATCCAGAAGCGATAGCAACCATGCCTGGCGCCATCTTCTGGGCAATGCTATTCTTTCTCATGCTTCTTACGCTGGGACTCGATAGCTCTGTGAGTAAACATCGAATATATATATATAATATATCAACTGTGTAGCAACGTTCGTATCGTCCGAGTGTGTCTAGGATCGACTAATCGATAACTAATCAATAACAATCGTATTATAGGTGGGAAATATCGCGGTATACTATTAAGAATATGCGCCCCGCGCGTGAATTCGCAGTGATATTACATATAATACAACGTTGATATTACATTTTATAACGTTGATATTATATATCGTAATGTTGATATTAGATATTAGAATGTCGTAATCTATATCAGGGGCGGATCCAGGGGGGGGGTGCAGGGGGTGCGCACCCCCCCCTAAAAATTTTGAGTTGCCCTTTTTTCTGGCCCACGGCCCTTTTTTCTGGCCCACGGCCCTTTTTTCTGGCCCACGGCCCTTTTTTCTGGTCCGGACCCTCACCTGCTCGCGC